AGGCCCCTCGTCGCCAGAGTTTCTGAAAACTTGCAAAGAAGCTTTACTCCTGCCGCTGCGGCCTGATCTTTCCAGTCAGCTGTTCAACGGCTTCGTTCCTCAGTTGCTTGCGCTTGGGGATTTGGAATGTTGCGTTGGGCTTAGGGTGTGGGGCTCAGAGTTGTGCTCTTCAACAGCTTATACTCGCGGCGGCCAGTTTCCTCTTCTCAAATCACACGCGTTGCCTCAGCCGCAGGGTCGCGATAGCTATGACGATGCTGCATGAAACAGGCAAGGACAGCACTAGGCATCTGAAACATGCCATAGGCTGCCCCCAACCTCCCCCTCTCCAAGCCTCCGCCCACCCCACACCTTCCCCCTTGTCCCACCCTACACCTTCCCCTGTCGAAACAAGGCCCGCATGAGGTTCACAAAACACAAGCAGAAAACTCAGGGCTGGTGAGGTGGAACAAACCAAGAGGCTGCTGCTTCTCCGCAATGGCTGCCTGCCATTCATTCGTTTTTGCGACAACGCAAGTTCAAAAAGAGGCACACACTCGCTATCCTTCTCGAACCAGCAGAAGTACAACCCTGAGTATCCCTTGTCTGCGTTGGGGATTCAGCAACATGTGAGTCCTATTGCCTGGTACTTAGCCTGCAGACATCGCTTTTTATGAAACAGCCGACTAGTACAGCCGGCGCGGTTCGCTTGGCTGCGACAGTCTTCGGGGCTGAATTGCTGAAAGTCTCCACGTTCCTTGTGGGTTGGTTCAGTCAAGGCCCACCGAAAATGGACCCTGGAAGTAGGATAAGTCCTGCCCTGCTTCCCTTGACAGGTCTTGCTCTCATCTTCCAACTTTGAAACCCTCAACCCTATATCGTGCCTCCCAGACCAAGCGCCAGTTGTTGACCTGGGCACTACTGCTTCTAACATGAAGATCATTAAGTAATCACCTGCACCGGATGGATCGCCAGAAATTTTCCCTCACAAATACTTAGTCGGGGGTGTGGGCTTTGGAATTAAATGGATGAGATGGGCTTCAAGCTGTCTTCAGTTGCGCATGATTTTGTAAAATGCAATGCATCTTCTCTCCCCTCCTTCTGACGCTCACCAAGACTGGGCGCCTGTCTCAAGTTTACAAGTTCATGATTAGTGTTTCTCTTTGAAATCTTCAGGCAAAGATTGCCTAAACGCAACTGGCTCCCAGCTGAGCTGCATCAAGCACGCATCAGGTGGGTTCTCAAAGTGAGCTTTTGAAAGAGGTCCGCACAAATATGGGATCTGCTCAGTCAAGAGTCTTTCCTGGGACACCAAAGACATGGGGTTTACAAGGTTTGGTTTGGGAATTACATGAGGATTATGTAGGGAAACTGCCATGTGCTCATGCTAAGCCCCTGGCACAGAGATGAAGCAAAGCCCGATTGCCTGACGAATCTCCAGGGCTCAAGCAACTCCCCCTTGGGTGTCTGACTATCACGGACCACACTTTGAGGTTGAAGGGTCATTATTCAGGTTTGAGGACGGAAGGCTTCAGGTGAGAATCTGCACAAAAAATGGTATCCTCAAAACCTACGGTCAAGAGAGACCCATCGTCTTGAGAAATGTCAGCAGAAGTGTCCGGCCTGTAACGTTGAACTGCGATGCGATCATGCCTCTCATCTTGTGCATCTTCTCCTTGGCTTGGCACCGAGCTGCTGGGTTTCAGGTTTGCCGCTGCAACCCCCAAGCCCGGTGTAGTTATGGCGAAAAGATCTGAAAAGCAGAGGTAGAAACTACATGCCAGCTATGTCGGCATTTCTCAACGTGGCGGTCCCCTGAATCAGCCGTAGGATCATGTGCACCTTGCGTGATAGGAACGACCCACAAGTTTGAGAACCCGCACAGAGGACATTGTGACTGGTTCAGGCTTGCAAATGAACAGAAATATATACTGTCAATTGAACCACACAATGGAAAATCTCATTTCACTGCATTAAGCGAACCTGCCTGTCTGCAATCTCACGGAGTAATTGCTTACTTCGAAGCTTCCAAGTGAGTGTAGGATACAACTTTTTCAAAACTTACGTGCGTCGCTTTAATTGAACCTGTTCGCTGGCAAGTCAGAAACCTCCGACACGAGCTTTACTCCAAAATGTGTGTCCACGCAGAGTTAGAGCCTAGCCACCAAGTGAGGCCTGGTCCTGGCTCGTCTATGGATTGTGGTATCAGCCCTTCACAGAAGATGGCCAGCTAGAGCTTCTTAAGGTTTCTCTGCCGAAACAATCCAGACACCAAAAACCCTCGCCATAGCCCAAGGCCGTACATGTGCAGGCTTCGGACGATCTAAATCTAAAGTGACGAGATAGGCTAGGTCATCACTGAAAAAAGTTTCACGCACCAGCGAGGAATATGGTTTAGCCTGACGGTACATCTTGAAGATTGGAAGCCAAGCCTCTTCATGTCATGCCTGGTCAACCCCACTTGAAGTGGTTGAAGTGGCGTTTGATTCTAGTTAGCGTTCCTAGGAACAGATGAAAGCATATATAGGGGGGGGGGGCAGAGCTTTTGACAAATCCAACCTCAGGAAGGACAAGATGTATACTCAGATCTCTCAGAAATGCGGTCCTCCTTATACACCACAAGAATACGGTGATCCTTTAGAAGTACCCCGAAAGGAGACCTATAACAAATACCTGAATGCTTGAATCCTAAACTAAACCCTACACTAGCAACGGATGGTACATCCATGAGAGCAAGGGGCGGCTTCCGCTCTCCGCATCTTTTCAACCTGGCACTGGACTTTTTTCAAGGTACGGATTAATTACATGCACGACCGCCCCTTGATGAAGGGTTCAGGCTTTCAGGCATAGGGTGTAAGGTTTGGGCTGATATGTAGGAGGGCTTCCAAGAAAAAGGGATTCCTTTGAATCTGCGAAAAGTAGGGGCAGAGGAACTATGCCTGCAGGATTCAAGATCCGGCTTCCTTCCCAGAATTCCTGCTCTGCATACAGTGAGGTTTGCCGTGAGGGCCTGAAAAAGCATGGTCTCCTGAAACGCAGGCCTTGATGATCTCACAGCCTCCCTTACTAAGACTTAATGCAATTTGCGGAGGGTGGTGGCGTGTGTGGCTATGGGCTCCAGAACGTAAACCCAAAACCATGACCCTAAAACAAAAATACCCAAACCCTGCCCCCCAGAATCCTAAACCCAGGCCTCAGGATTTCAAACCTTTCAGCCTGAAACATCACAGAGTTTCAGGGCCTGGTCCCGATGCTGGATGCGTTCAGCATGCTGCTGTTGCTCCAGGAGGCTCTGCCTGCTGCTGTCGATTGCGGATTTGCATTTACGGGTTTTCGGTCTTAGGGGCTTGCCTTCAAGAACTTAGTTGGGTCAGAAATATGTGCCCAGCCCTAAATTCGAAAAACCCCGAGCTTGAAGCCCCAAACCTGAAATCTTACAGTAATCATACAAATACTCAAGCACATTGAGCTGGAGCACGGGATGGATGAAGGCCTGAAGCACTTGCACTTCAACGCCGGGTGTTCCGTGGCTGGTTGGCAGCAGAAGCCCGATATCTAAATTCTTAACCCAAATTCCTGAAACCTTGACGCTTGGTCCGAGGTCGAACCCTTGAATCTCAGCAAGAGCAAGCGGATGTGGGACGACGGGGGTGCAAATCATGGGGTGGCTTCTCGAGAATCTGGGGTGCTGTGGTGGGGTACTTGTAGCAGGGAAGCCTTGTATAAGCACACCCACTTGGGAGATTTGAGGCGCTATAATCCCACTCCTTGGGGTCCAGCGATTATCTAATTGAACTCTAACCCCTAAACCCTAAGCCCCAAACCCAAAACCCTAATATGTAGGAATGGCCTCCAACTGATGACCCACTTTGCGAAGGCGTCGCTCAGCACTTCCTGTTGCCACTGGTGGCTCTTGTTCGCGATACTCACAGCTTTCGCAAAGGGCACAGTACCCCAAGAATACAGGCGGGAAGAGGATTGTTGGGGATCTCTGTCAGGGATTAGGCAGGTGTCGGCTGAGGAAATCCTATTTTGGCTTTCCGAAATAGTCCCCAGAAAATATCCCGGATGCTGTTCACGTAGATACTTTCCGTGACCGTTCTCGTAAGGATCCGCACAATCAATTCTGCCATACACCATTTGAGCCATTGTCTTAAACTCCTAGTTCCTAGTATCCCCCTAATAACTCCTATAGTAATCCCTCATATACTCCCCCATAACCCCCCTTACGCACGAATGCGGAGAACTCCACACAGAAATTGCAATGTGCATGGCAGTATACAACAAAATGGTGCCCTAAACAATCATGCCATATGCGCATAACACTTTCTGCATGTACCACAATTGAACATCCATAGAAACGGAATACGGAATACAGCAGTCCACCTGGGTTGTAACGCATCTCGCTTAACCAACGCAAATCCTGACTGGCACTGGCCCAGCTAATTGCAACTCAGGGGGTGTTGAACTGATTCATATCCACTGCTATAATTTATCCCAACCACTAGCAGATGATGCGCCTTCTTGTCTTTGGCGAACAGATTCTGTGCTACTAGATGCCTCACGCGCTCGCCTTTTGCACGAGCTTCCTGCAAGTGCATGGCAGGAAGGTGTTTGTGCTTGTCAGATCTAGCAACGCTGAGCGGCCACTGAACGCTAGATCTCGGCAATCCTCAGAAGCCACAGAGCGTTGTCAGAGTGGCTGCGTCGCAGATCAATCTGGCAAAGCCTTTTTTTCGGTGCTGGGCCTCCCCGATTTATGTTTCTGGCCTAGCTACGTCTCAACAATTCCCAAAGCCTGGAAAAGGCCCTGGGACCAAGTTCCTGAGAACCAGGTGGAATGCGGTGGTCAGAATTTGCTCATAGGTTTGTCTGGTCCAGCTCCACGGGAAACACTGCCACAGCCTACATCTATCGCAACGACAGGCCGAATCACAGCAAAGCAGGACTTGCATCGGAAGCGATAACATACCCAACTTTCGAGCCCCCACCTGAAAGACTCTCGAATCAACTTGCGTGATTCAACCTTTCCCATTGGCGTCCTTCTTGAGGTTATCGATGTCGTTCCTGTGCTCCCTCATGTCTTTTTCCCACTTCCTAGCCGAGCATTCATACGGTGTACCATAGGGGCCTAAACAACCGGAATCGGGCTATTGAGGATTGTGGGTGGTATTTCCAGGCAGTCAGACTCGAGACTGCGAGTGGCCGTGAAGGAAAGCATCTGCCAGACTAGTCCCCATTTTCCTTGGAATTACTGCACTTCTCAACGAATCTTCACTTTTTAGGCACGCCCAGACAAGTCTCTATTAAGCCTTACTAGGGGGTGTTGGGTGTCGATGGGGCAGCGTGTCGGGGGGCTTAAACACTCCAATAACATATTCACCTCGCCATGAATCCCTCAACACGACCCCTATGCCCCTAAAGCCGAACCCGGGGCTTTTAGACGACAGTCCAATCTCAACAGTTGCCGAAACGCTATGAGCCTCAAACCCGAAAACCCTTGACCAGCATCAACCATTTGAGCTGCAGTAGCCACATATAGCAGATCTTGAATCAACGAAGTGATTTTGAGGTACGCCCGGCTTAGAACCATTTCAGCACTCAAAGTGGTGAAGGCATGCCAAGGTCGATTTTTTTTGAATACTGTCAAAGAATATTGGAAATGAATAATGGACACGCCTCACCCGCCCGCCTGTGAAGTAGCTCATTCTTCGTCAAATCCTTCCACTCTGCGACAATCACTCCCAGGTTGTCGCTCATCACCTGCCATGACTTTGCCAAAAGGTCAGGATCTAGGGCTTAGGGTGTGATTAGGGTATAGAGTTTGCGTACCTGTGGCCTCTTCTGCTATCCTGGAGCTGTTCCGAGTTGAGGGACATCATCCCAGACGGCAGAGTGTAAAGTTCACGGGACTTCTTCTTGCTTGTTGATTTCAGTGGGTCCCGTTCAAGTCTTCTTCGTCTATGTGCGCCACCAATGTAGGAGCATGTCTGGCTGATGGGAACCCTCGCAGCCCTCGCATTATGATCAACAACGCACATTCTAAGTTATCGTAGCCCCTGCACTATTCGCACCGGGCCGCCTTGCGGAACATGTTGAGCCCCGCCACCTCTGCGGCCTTGTCGGCCTTCTCGATCTGGCGCGACGGGCTGAATACTCACAGAAGACAAAAGTGAAACAATATGGAAGCTCCATCTCCATGCTTACTTGATGAAGGAACTGAACCTTCTGTGTACTGGTTCAATCTGAATTTGATTTTGACTTTAATTCATGGGAAACAAATCGGAGCTACCATGTCAACGTTGCCTGTAGCCATTCTGAAATCTGTGCGCCGGGGTGCCTCGAGTACGTGATGAGCATTGACTGAACCCCAAGCTGTAAGGGCCATTTAGGGCTACAAGCAAATGCACCCAAACCCTTTGTAAGTAAGATTCTCAACCCGTGGGAGGGTTGGCTCGTTATGGGGAGGTGATTAGCTCAATGGATGCCTGATCATGCAGTTGCCAGAAGCCTCCGAGGCCTGTCTATGACAACTTGGAATCCAATAGACACCAGAGATGTTTGGAATGCCGAGACCCCTGCACAAACAGCTGGTGTAGGGTGTTTAGGCCTTACCCAGACTGACCGTCCGTTACAAGAGCATAGACATATGCTCGACACGCCCTAACATTTTCCCTCAAACCTGCAGGAGCCCTAGCTGCAAAGCTCCAGAAGCTCCCTGCAAGCCCCACCACTTTACCCGCATGCTTGGTTAGGAAGTCTTATGCAAGCCCCCATGGCACTCGCAAGACTAATCCGACACCCGCCTCCAAATCAAGCATGAGCAAGTTTGAGTATCCGTGACAATTGAAGAAACTCAGCACGGCCTCCAATCTGCGGATGCGCGCCATATCCTGCTGCGACTAAGCTGGCTCTTTGGTTTACCACAAGTTAAAGATGCTTCAGGTGTTGCATGCGGTCAGAACTTGTGAAGACTTGAGTCTGATAGCACGCTGTGCAGAACATGGCCCCCCCGACATCAAGGGATTATTGTATTCATCTCTCCAGACATGTATGAGATCTCCCGGCCTTAAGACCCCATAATTCCAGAATACATTTGTCCTCGTTACAGGGTCCCGTTGAAGTGCAGAAAGGGTCCCTGCATCTAGTGAACACGTTGCGCCCACATGGGTTCTGGCATTCATACTTTGGAGTCTAAGTACTTGCTGCTCAGTAGTTAGGCCATCGACCTTCATCCATCCTGTCCGCGTGGCAGACAGCCGCTCCTGCTCGTACTTCTTCTTTGCCTCCTCTTCTTTGCGTGTGCTGATCCTTGAGCTAGCGTGCGCACAGGAAACCTTGCACCCTCCTCCAGCCCATACTCAATTACAGCAATTGAGGTATCCTAAATCCCAAGTGTCCTCCATCTGAAATATGATGAGCTTCCAAGTTCAAGGTTCAAAGGGTCGCTGCGAGGGTTTGGCTGCATTCCTTTCAACTTATCATCGTGCGGGAGCATAACGAGACACGCCTGCTTCAAATACTGTGGATCGAGCTGGCGCAAAGCGACGAAGATTAGGCAAACTTGCTCTGTCAAGGCCTGGTCCAGGTTTCGAGTTCATTCCCTGCATCATACGTACGCAGCACAGCTTTGGGGCAAAACGCCAAGAGCCCTAAGCCCAAAACCGCTAAAGCTTAGCTATTGCTCAGGAGCACATTGGCAGGTATACCCAAACAGGGGAACCAAGGAGGTAGCTTCAGCCTTTCAGATGCTTAGATAACAAATCAAACCTCGTCTGGTGGTTGTTGTGCCCATGCCACCTCTGCCTCAAAACTACGGTATCCAAAGCTTGACAGCCTTTCCCGAAATCAAGCTTGATGGACAAGCTGCGTTTGGTGTGCCCACACTCGCCAGGAGGAGACACTGAGCTTCAGCAGGCTGTCGCAATGCGCTTTGGACCTGCAATAGTCTGCGTTTGCACAATTTTTTTTTAAGGAGCCTGACAGTAGCTACAAGCACGCAATGGGATTCTGAACATAAGGAATCTAGGAACGCCAGATGGAGTGTGATGAAGATGTGGCAGAAGTCAAGGCGATCAGTCATTTGGTGGGCAGCCTTGGGGGAGCTTTGACAGGGACCTCCACAAGAGTCAGGGATGGCCTTGCCCAGCTTGTGTAACTACACCACCACCGCCCAACTAGTAGCCATTACTACATCCCCAAACACTTTACCATATAGAATGCAATCTATTTTTAGGTGGTGTAACTCCCCAAAACGGGCAAGGTTGTCCTTATTCATGTTATGGTTCATTGTATGGTAGTAGGGATGTTCGTTGAATAACAAACTGATCTAGATCTAATTTCGAATTCAACAATTATTGGTGCATAAATGCATTAAGGCTTCATCCCTTTATATACCTTTCTTAAGAAAACTTCCTGAATTCATTCCTCCCCTTTAAGCCTAGATTTCTTACCCGTGTCCAAACAAGCCCGACATATTTTGTTGTATACTTTCTTCGATTGCATGCTTACGAATTCATTTGTCTGTTTTATTTGCTCACATGCTTTACATTGCATGTATCGTGTTTTGCAATCCCTGCCTCTAGGAAACGCAACAAAATACTAATGTACTGACTATGAGTAGATGATAATATTCTGCGTAGGGTATCATGAATAGGTTTTCGTTTCTTTGTCATACTTTATCTTATAATACTCAAGGGTACTAGGCTTGGGATTGAATGTATCACCGTTCCTCAGGTTATCATGAGTTTAGCCAAGTATGCATTCTTCTTTGTTCTCGTAAGTGGCTGCAACTGGTCCCTGAGAGCTGCCCCCACAACACCTGACAAACAGCAGCACCAGCTCATTGCTTACCCTATGATATGGGGTTTGGGGTGTAAGTTCACGGTTTAAGGTTTTGCGCCCCGCCACCAAAATTCCATACACTCTTGTTTGCCCATGAGAGCTGAAACCTTCAGCACACCCGGTTTCCACAAAAGATACAGGACCCTAGACCCTAGACCCTATACAAGGATCAGCGATATGAGGGCTACTCAGATTCAAAGCTCAAAACCCCCATCGCCGGGACGGCAGAAATGCCAATTATTTCAAACATACTACGCTTTACTAAACCCCAAGGTCTGAACCCTAGTCGTGCCACAACTCGTAATCTATTTACTGGGAGTCAGAGCATCCGCCCAGCGATCTCCAAGGCAGCCTGAACAAAGGATTTAGGCCTTGTGGATTCGGGTTGCGGGGATGAGGGCTAGGGTGAAGAGTTTCTATAGGCAGGAGTAAACGTGTGGCCCCAAGCATGCTCAGGAAATACAGGGAGATTCTGGTGAGCCCAGGGCTTGCTTTGGACAACTCCCGGACAGGCAAAAGCACAACTCATGTGGAGGTATAGAGGCTTATAATAACTGGAACATGGCTTGGCATTCAGAGACCCCGATAGGTCGCGTGTGGCTGAAGGACTCTACACATGCACCCTTGAGCATTGTCCGGACAAGTCCCCAACAAGTTTTAGTCGAATGGCGGTATTCAGGATCTAGTTAGCACCTTGACGCATGCTCCCTGCACAAAAACAAACTTCCCCTTCTGAGGGCGTGTGGAATAACTTACATCATGTCACATTTCCTGGCTATCTAGCCGAAAACGTACGGGAATGATAGCGCTCGTGATTCCTGCACTTTCCGAATGCCAAACCCCTATCACCCTTATCACCCTTATCACCCTAATCAGCCTGAACCCTGAACCTGAAACCCCTGAAGCGCCCTGCCTTGGTCCCCACTTCTTTGTGACTTCGCTTGAGTCGAGCAAGTTCCTTGCCGCCCAGGATACAAGTCTTCAAGTGGGAGCTTCTGAAACCAAGCCTGGCTTAGACTCAGACGGCAAAAAAGTGCCCAAGACGGCCCAGACTTTGGAAAGGTAGGGATGCCCTTCAATGCCCCAAAGCAGAACATCCTGATTGCAAGGACCTCCGGAAAGAGCTCACAATTTTGTAGTAAGAACCCATATGCAGGCTACTCGGGTAGGATCTGCAGATGTATTGGATGAATATCCACGGGTGGAAGCCACCAAAGCTATGCAATCCTACACCCCCAAATTCAAGTGGGCAAAGTGAGATTCCTGCGTCTGCACACTTCCTTCCAACCGAATCCTTGGATATTGAGCACAGCTTTGGGGATTGAAGGCAAGATCTGATGAACATTACAACAAGCATCCAGCAGCCGCTAGCTTCTTAGCAATGACCATCAAAGCCAACTGCCGACAGCCCTGCGGAACATTGTCAGTCGCTCCTCCTCGTGCTTGCGGCGGGCTTTCGTTTCCTGCCGGCTGCGGGTCGCGGTGCTGTTGCAGCATCTGGGGCTGTATGGACATCACTTGCTAAGGTGCAGGGACGGTGTTTGGAATCGAAATACGCTTGCATCAGGATTGGTTACAACCGACCACCCGCCTGAATGTGTGTAAGCTAGTAAGGATCTCCTTCAACAACGCGAACAAGCTTACTTGAGGCAGCAACATCAAAGCAAAGAATTTGGCTTCTCACGGGGAGGATAGGGATACCGAAGAACCTCGAAACCACTCGAAACTGCTCTCCGGCATGACGCACGTCGAAGAGCCCGACACTGACACCTATTTCCTGTGCTTGCAGCTGTTCTTATGGCATAGCAAGCGGAAACGCAGTGTGGTCAGACAATTCACCTATGAGTGCAACGACTAATCTCCCAAGATGCACCTTGCCAGCGATTCTGTGCCGGAAGCACTCGCTACCAGGACGCGAATGTCCAGCAGCCCCTTCGCCGCTCAACACTTAATCGAGATTACGCACTACTGAGTCACTACTGGGACTCCTGCCTTGGTTAACACAGCTTGACGGCGCCACATTTCCACCACCACGCCGACGTTATCCTGAAATAGCGTCAGCGGTTCAGTGAACGAGGGTTTCCAGCCATGGGAGTTCTGGGGCTCACAATCATTTTGAGCGTGCATCTTGAAAGACTGCTCCGAGGCCCTGGGGTGGACGCGAGCCTGCGTCAGTGAAGATGAGTGGTAGTGAAGAGTGACCCTGGCAGTGCTGTGAATTCCTCGCCCCACAGGTCAGAGGGTCTACATGACATCCTCAGACATCCTGGTCCTATACCTTCAGGGATGGTTGATGTGTGCTTGCTTCCAACACATCATTCATACCAAGCAGTCTAGATGGCCCACTGGTTCCCAATCATGTTTAGTAATATGAACCTTAGCCGAAGACCATAAAATTTGAGAAGCCCTGAACTCTGAAGCCGACTTACTTATTCCAAATAGTTTCTAATAAGGTCCTAATCAGACTGGCCCCAATGTGGAATAATCCCCAGCTAGCCTTATTCAAATAGCCCCTCCTTCAAATTATTAGCAATAATCCCTAATCAGGCCCTAATGCCAAGTAGTCCAAGGCTACTATAACATGGGGTGAAAGGTTTAAGGTTTTAGTAGGGTTTAGGATTTTAGTCCCCCGTAAGTAGATAAAATGTGGTGTATATTGGGATCTTATGATAATATACCCAAAGCCATATTCCGTTTTGGGGGACTATAAACCGCTAAACCCGTAAGCCCTAAACCCTAACACCTAAAACCCTAAACCTTATTCTTGGGTTCCTCGTTTATGCAGCAGCGTTGTTTTGGATATTGAGAAGAGGACCAACATTTTGACAGGGTTCAGGGAGATGAGGACTACTATATAGTATATGGGGATAAGATTGGGGTTATTCCCTCGTCTGAAAAGTGATGCATGGGTTTGGAAACCCATATACCAGGCTTGGGGCCTGTGGGTCAGCAATTTAACTTAATGTGTGAGGCATCGAAGAAGTATCGGTATTCAATTGGTATCGAACCGAATCGAACCGTTGCCATCAATCGAAGAAGTATCGGTCGACAATTGGTATCGAACCGAACCGTTACCATCAATACTACCAATACTTTATCGATAAACAATCGCTGAAACATCGGAATCGATCGAAACGGTAGATTACATCAATGCTTACTCCATGAAGGTACGGATGGTTTCAAGAAGGCCCCATGTCAGGCCACGCGTCGTCCCAATACTTCTTGAACCTGGGCGCAAATGAACAGCAGAGCTTCACTTGTAAATTTTCTCATGTATGGTTGAGGGTATCCACACGGACCCAGGGCTATGACGAAGCTAACGTGGTTAAAGCTCTAACACGGTCAGTATGCAAACTCAAGAAGAACAGCCCACAACCACTCGTGGTTGAAATTGCGATCCCTTAAGTAATCCCATTCCATATGGATTTCTGGAGCAGCATCCAACAAGGACTCCAAGTATACTATCATCGACCGTCTGGTCTGCTGAAGAAGCGTGCGGGCTGATAAGCTGAACAGATTGTGAACCAAATGCAGCGAGATTTCCACAACACACCTGAATCAAGTGCTGCCTGCACAAGCTTATACCATAGACCCACCAGGTACAATCCCCGTCACCTGAGAACCCGGCCGTAGTGTCACATTTGTCAGCAAAACATCTAGCAGCGCATAGCAATGGGAAGGCAGCGGGAGAAGCAAGATTTCTGCAAAATGAGCACAGGCAGCTTAGAATAAATCTAAAGATTTAGGGTTGAGGGTGTAAGGGTCAAACATGCGCGTACGTCAGCCCGTAAAGTTCGAAGTGGCAGCAACTAGGTGGGCATCTCCTGAAGCAACTCTCGTGTACCTACTTGTTGGAAAGAACGCCGTGCCCTAGATTGCCGGTTGAATCCCACAGCCACACCCCTTTGCCACAACGACTCATGACCTGTTCAACAACAAGTCCCTTGTTCAATTTGGACCGTTGCCATTGCTACCATATATCGTTATTCCGCCCTGAGGACAGCGTGCGAACCTCTAGCCAATCATAGCTAGTCTGAATCACTCACCCGCTCTGAGGCCGAGGGCATCTGGTCTGAAAGCTTTTGCGCCGCCTAAACAGGAAGAGCAAAACTAACATGCTGTGGTTAACTGGGAATCCCGTATCTGAGAGAGTATCTGCAGGACACCGTCCATGCTTGTGTGCGCGTTGGGCTAACACACGAAGTTGCCAACGACACATTGTGTTTTGGCAATTATGCAGAAGCCATCTCGTCTTATTCGGCCTTGCTGGGTTTCTTGACAGCGCATGGGTATCTGTAAGCAGGGTTACCGATTGCAGCTAGGGCAAAATATTTTTGATAACATGATTTTAAGGCATTCGTGACCCCGTTCAACTATAATGTTGGACCCTCTTATGC